AATATTACTGGTTTCTCATCGGACATTAGTGGTTTTATGAAAATATTATCTTACTTCATCGGTCCAACAATTCAGTGCTAGCTAGCTTCCCGACAATTTGTACGTACATCAATTTCAAGTTAACTCACTGGATATCAAGGAGACTGAACTAGAAAGACGATTTTAGGTTATTTGTAAGTTAGTGAAATTTCTGTTTATGAAACTTTGTAATAATTAATCATAATAGTTGCTATTGTAAATTATACTGTTGTGTATATATATATATATATATTAAAACGTATTTGCGTGAAAAACGAAGACAGTGTGTGTCAATCTTGTTGGCAGACAGTGTAAATAAATTAAATAAAATATCGGCTTCGGACTATTGTAAATTCTCAATACGTAACAACGATATATATACTGTTTTCTATATTTTTAATTGTACACTTGATCATTGTAAAGTCTCTCTTAGTAAGGGTGTAATTCCAATAACCTATAAACAGAGGGGAAACTTTGGGATTCAAAAATTAATAAGAAAACCTCAGCTAATATGTGGGTATTTAATACAGGTTTTAAATCATTTGACCAGTTTTTGACTGATTGAAAAATAAATAGTTGAAGAACATACTTGGAAAAGTGACTGTCAGTTATATATATGTATAGAATTACTATTAAATTACAAATAGATGCATCAATTAATTATGTGTTTTAACATCATTCTTTATAGTTGAGAATGCTGTCATTTTCCATGATGAAAGTGAACTTTAAGTCACCATAATGTCAGAATAAAGTTTTTCTAATTGCTGTCAGATATATTTCTTCTAGTAATGGCTTAACACAATGTAAAAATACACAGGGTACTCTATATTGTGGTGGTAAAGATCTTGGTCTATTTACAATTTTATATATATTACCCTCTGTAATAAAGCAATTTAAAAAGGTAAATGTGCTAATAAATAACAGCCATATCAGTAACAAGACGTTTTATTTCATCATGCTGCTGTACAAACTCCACTGTGCAGATTACTGAAATATTTGGAACAAGCAACTATTTACATCATCAATCTGTGAATCAATGAATGGAAATATGAGATTTTTTTTATCATTTTCCTTTTTTTGGTCTCATGAGTAACAATGGCTTATAAAATAGCCATAATAATTTCTTCCATTCCCGGCTAAGCCAGTCTCTTTTTCAGTTAAATATCTGGGCACATTTAACATCAAAATATTAACTATAATTCTTATTTTTATTATATTTTTTTTTACAAATCATGAGGTAAGGCAAAAAACAGTTTTTCAAAAACTTTACTATTTGAATTATTTTAGAGCACATTAATTACACCAGTTTCAGTTCAAAATATAGTAGTAAAGCTTTTGTTAAAACAATGAAATCAATCCACCTGCTATATAAGAAAAAGCACCTCCTCCAATTTTACATGGAAATATTTTCATTTAAAACATGATAGGCTTGGTTTCTGTCATATCTTTAACATATTGGGTAAACCTTTTCAGAAATTTTGGGTACTCCCGCTTATAGACGGCACGAAGGACTGAGGCTGGAGCCCAACCACCAGGGTTAACTAAGAAAGAAAACATACAGAAATAATTCTGTAAAAAAATTTAAATTACCTTAATGTAAGATCACTAGCTTTACTCTATCAAAAGAAATGTAGTTGTATTAGAACCAATACAATGAATATCATCCGACATTCACAAAAAATGAGTACAGTTACAGTATTAGAGCAACAAAATAACCCCTATATATCATCAAACAGTATTGTCTATTCTAACAATTACATCATTTAACATTCACTACAACAAACAGAAATATCTATTCTAAAACAATTACTGCCTAGGTTAGTTTATTAAATATTTTTGGCTATACTGTTTAAAATAATTTTTTAATTGTTGTATTATAATAAAAATATTGTTAACAATGAGTGTACCCAACTGACTATTCCACACTAACTTATAATTTTGATCTTTTCTGATGTCTTAAGTTATAAACATTTGTTTATGTAAGACTTACGAAGTTTGTTTTAACCTTTAAGTATAAAACAATTCAAACTAATATACTTCTAGAAAATATTTTCCGTAATTGCCAAAAAACAAAATCACAATTTCATTCTTCAAAGATTGTGTAACTCTATAAATCAGATATTGATCTGTAGATATTATATAAATATTAAACAAAATGATCAAATTAAAAGCAAATTCAATACATACAATTTCTTTCAGACTTCCAAAATTAACATACCTTTCTAATTTGAATATATTTTTCAAGTTTATTTGTTACACATCATTTTCCTGCTTGTTTTTCACAAACGTTTACAGTAAAGCTGAGCTATTCAGTATATCTTTAAAAAAAAACTGCTTTGATATCTATGTTTCACTGCATCTTAGCTTGATAAAATTGTAAGGATCAAATGGTGACTTCTTACAGAACATAATGGTATTTAACTTAATACAAAAGCACTTACTGGTTGAGCAGTAAATAATCTTGCAGGTTAAGTTTTCCCTTTTTATCTCCTCATTTTCAGCAGGTGGGTCAATAAAAGTCTGACAAACTAAACTAATGGTAAGAAATACTCGAACACATTTTCCAACCTTAGAGAGACAGAAAAAAAAAGGTTAGTTTTTATGAATCTGTTGGAATTTGTCGACTTTTATTCAGCAAAGATTATGATAGTTACTAAAGTAATAGGCTAAAAATTTCTACTGTTTTTAGTAACATAAAAGTACCTGCTTTAGTAATATAAAAATAATTAAAAAAACAACAACAACAGAGATTTTAGAACATACATAAAACAAATGTATTTTCTCATCTTACAAATTACCACAACTGTTTATATAAACTCTTTCCAGTCCAGAATCTCGCTTGAATTATGAAAGCAAATGACAAAGTCATAAAAAAAATTCTGTGATCCCTCTAATACCTTACAAGATATAATTGTAACTAAAATTTTCAGATTTTGAATTTTGTTTTGATGTATTTTTATGAACAATTTGTTTTATATAAATAATAAATATAAAAGAAAGCTTTCTTTCTTCTTGTTTTGTCTTGACTGAACCACTACTCAAGTTTTCATGAGTTAACTATACCTATCCACTTTTAAGCCTTTTCTGGAATTAAGTTGTTTTTTCTGACAGACATACAAAAGATTTAACATTTTAAGTTATAGAAAAAAAAAAGCAGTCATGTATTTACCTTAAAGAAGTCAAACTGCTGAAACAATTAATATAATTTTATAGTAAGTAGTTTTACTGACATTAAAAAGTCTTCCTCATTTATTGGTATGCTAAAATCAATGATTTCTTCTAATGCATGGCTTTGATAAGTAAAGACAGATGTTAAATTCAAGCCTATATACATTTGTCACAAACATTAAAAATAAAAAGTACAGAAAAACAAATATGAAACTGAAAAAACTAATAAGCAATTTACCTGTGAAATTTAAACATGTGGATGGGAACTATTCAAACAAAAACTCACCTGAAATCTATAATTTTTGGGGGTAAATTTATCCCATGAATAATAAATGTATGCCTTTGTATATTTTATTTCAAGCTTTTTGTGATTTATGAAATGTCTTCAGTAGGCCAATACTCCATCAATAATTGAGTAATATAATGTGTGTATATGTATAAATATATGTAGAAGTAGTAAAAAAATAGGGAAAAATAAATACCGGGACATCGTCATGTTCTGTGGAATGATTACAAACGATCCAGATATCTTGTGCATCTTGATCATCATTGTTAGGTACTTGTCTTATATGCGACCAGAACAAGGCATCTCGTTGAGTGGCAGGCCATACTCTTTTGTGAACTTGATGAAATATCAATGTATTAGCATCAATCTCTTCAATTATTTTCATTGACTCAAGTGTTGCTGTTAGAAGAAAAATGTTTTAAAAACATTAAGTGAAAATCTGAAACAAGCACTTCAACTATCAATACTGTTCAATTTTAAAAAACAGGAATATTTATTTGTTTAGTACAATGCTTCATAAAAGGCTACCTGCACTCTGTCCACTGCAGGGAACCCAACCACAGATTTTAACATTGTAAGTCCATAAACTTACTACAGATCCAAAGGCAAGAAGGAAGTGAATAATTATTATATTAACCAAAGACAATATTTTTCTTATTTTTTCTTAAAGAACAATCATTTAAGCATGGGCAACATAAAAACCAATCAAACTATTACAAACACAAAAAATATGCTTTTGTGAATAAAATTAATTCATCAATACAGTTAAACTTATTTCTAAGTGGTTGTAATAACAAGTTACACACATGCACTTAACTAAACTGCCTTAATCAAGCTGTTAGCATTCTATACTTAAATACAAAACTAAGAAAGAAACAACAAATACTATGTTGTTGTTTTTTTTAAATTATTTTACATTTGTATACATGAAAGACCACATACTCTCCCACTCAAACCGAACATCGGGATTAAAGAAATAATGACACACTTCATGTCCTGTCACACCCTGTAAGAAAAACAAAACAGTTTCAGTCATCAAAGTTTATAAACAAATGTTTCACTCTCAAATTATCACCTCTTTTTCATTCAAATATTAATAGAAAATGTCACAAATAATGTGTGAAAATACTCTTGAAACATTATTCTGCAATGTAAACAACTAATTAAAACAATAATTTAATATAGAACTCTGAATTAATCAAACTACTTGAAAACAAACACACACAATGATCTTTAAATCTGTCAATTTTGAAATAGATTAGTTCATCTTATAAACTATATATATACACAATATTCATGTCTAACATAAAATATATATAGCTAAACCAACAAATATATTTATAATCCCACAAATAAGACTAAATTTTCAACCAATTAAAACTAGAAACAAATTTTGCAAACTAGATTTTCAAATGCTTAAAATAATTTTAATTATAAAATCATATTTTGTTTTTTCATCAACTTCTCAGTTCTCTTTCAATAACATCTGAATGGGGAAAAAAGGACAATCTTTCTAATACTAGTTCCAGAGATTATTTGTGTAGACAAAAATCATTGAATTTTTAATTTTCATATCTTTATTTTTCCTATCCCTCCTTCAAAGTGTGCCAACTTAGGCAATTGGCAATGACCAAGTTGTGTTTTTTGGTTAACCTGTGAAAAATATTAAATAAAAATTCTCCATGAGCTGTTCATGCATTGTGTAATTTGATATCTTGTTTACCATAATTTGAGCTATGCTTTTGCCAGCCAGGTGGCTTATTGCAAGTTTAGCAACTAGACATGGTTTAGCTTTTGCTACATTTAGTGTTAGAATAGAGAAAATAAGGAATGAAGTATCAAGTTTTACCAGAAGAAACTTTTGATATTTATTTTGGAGGTTCTAAAGGTTATGGAAATGAGATATGAAAACTGTAAGATGAGAAAAGTACTTTTATTCTTAACATGAAAATTGCATTGCACTCAGACTAGCCAGAGAGGGAGTCAGAGAGACTCCATAAAGTCCCAAATTTTTAGTAAAAATACTTCATTAAAAATTCTGAATTTTCTCATACAATATATTCATAATGTTTACTGAAAGGTTGCCAAACGTTTTGAAATTACATGTAATAAATTAAGAGTATAGTAAACATTGTTTTGTATAGCTTCACAGAAATGGTGGTTGGTGCAATGCACCAATACCATACATATAGGGTTAAGTATTTTATCAAAAGAAAAATTGAGAATATTTGTTGTTGTTTTTTTTTATTTTAGAGTTAAATTAATACTACTCCAGTTACTTTTGATAAATATATATATCAATAAATAAAACAAGAAATTTACCACTTACCTTTGCTTAAAGGAATATTCAGACTAGAAAACATACTCTTACCTTACTTCACTAAGACTACTTTTTCCGCACTATATTAGTTGTACAAAAAATAATTCACGTAGCTTTCAAATATGCATTTTGAAACACAAGCAGAACAACTACTGTAATTTATCTGGCTTTCTAAATGACCCATAAGAAAAAAAAAAAGATTTAAAAAATTTCATTATTTACTTTAGCACTGACTTAGGTCTTCATTCAATAAAATTTGCTTAGGAAAAGGGCACTTTTTACCAGAATAGATAGTCATCATAATTACATAGTTCACAAGTAAGCATGAGTAAATAAGTAATGTCAAGTGTGTGTGAGTGTGTTTTCTTATAGCAAAGCCACATCAGACTATCTGCTGTGTTCACTGAAGGGTATTTTTTTTCCCCCAAGATTTACTGCCGTCCCACCAGGTGACAAGTAATGTCGAAAATAAAGTGTTTTGGGGGGGGGGGAGCAACTTCCGTGGCGGGTGTAACAAATTTATTGATATCTCAAAAATTAACGAAAATGGAACGTTCTTATTTTAAGTTCTGACATGTCAATATCTATAATTGGTTTTTAAACAGTGGACATAACAAAATCACATTAGGGAAGAAACAAAATTTAAAGAGGAGAATTCAGAGCAGACAGGTGACACACGACATAAACAAGTGAAGATTGAGAAGTTGTTTAGGTATTTCCGTTTCAAATTAAAACATATAATATTAAAATTTGTATTATAAGCTATATTTTAATGCCCAGTTTACTAATAAACATTGAAGTTGTTTAATTAATTTTTAATAACTCTGTAAAAAGTTTAACATATACATTTTGACCCCAACTGTGCTCATAGAGCTAAAGTTACTTTAAGCATAACAAACAAAGTGCTCCTTTCAACAATGTGTTTGATTTTTTTCCATTAGGTTACCTAGTGTATTATATGCTTTTACCTGCTTTACTAAAAAAGTTTAACTGATTTCACTAAGCTGCTACCTTAAGGATTACAGAATTTATTCTGATATATTTAATGAAGCTAAACTTAATTTTGAATATAATAATCTGTCATGGTAACATAAGATTTAAATTTGTCATGTATACTTTGTACACAAGCTGCTACATCAGGGAAAATACCATCATTCTTTACCAGGTGGTATTCATAAAAATGAGTTAAGATCTCATGCTTTATCATAAACTGTGTACAACAAATCTAATAACTGTAGATGTAATCCTGGTCTGCTCAACAGAATTAGCCTTTTACTTCACTTCATAAAACAAATCATCTTCATTATCGTATATATTTAGTAAATATTTATTAACTCTCTCACTATGGGCAAGTCAAATTGCACAAGACAGTTACATTCCAAATTTAATTAAAACACTATTATCATGGTATACGAATAAACTTGGCATCCAAACATAGTTAACAAATCAAATTTTAATATAAGTTTTAAGTTTTTAATTTCATAAGGAAATATATAAAAAATTCTCACTCTTTCCTAGTATGAAAATTGTGACATGCTCTCTAGGTCTTCCCTCTTCTCTAACTTATTTACCACCCCTCCAAAAAGTATAGAATTTAACATAAATTACTCATTTACTCAGGCAAAACAATTTTTATAGCCTTCAATCTTATTTGTTTATAGAGCCAAAAACTAGAAATTCAAACATTCTTGCCACACCCACCTGTCATATCCTCTTTTTCACAAATTTCCAATAGTTCTCTCTGATGTTAAATACTGTATTATTTGTAACCAATAGAAAGACAGTACTAATCTATCAAATGATGTATTACATTGTTTTCTGAACAGAAAATTGGCCATTTTGCTTCCAGTTCAAACTTTATTCCCATGAGAAACACATCAAAGAATTTTGGATGGCTCTTGTTGCATACAGTCAAGATCCACATACCACTCAATGTGATATAGTGGTCAACCCTTAATTACAGCCATTTTGGCTCAGTCCCAAATATTTCCTTCTATTTTATGTTTGTAAAACATCCACTATTATAGGCACTCATATTGCAGTCGACTTGGCTTGTACTCACTTGTTTCCCAGTCCCAAGCAGTCTCTTTGAACTCAGTATTGCAGCCACCCAGACCAGCTCTCACCTGCTGCTGCTGCCTAATTGAGACCTGTCAAAGTGAGGCCACTATCTGTACATCGATTGATAGTGGCCACATCTTGTAGGTGTTGCAAACAAGGTGACCATTGATGTTCCCTATTAATGGCAAGCTAATCCTACCTGATGCTTCACACCTCATGCTGCACTGATGATCTCACAATCATACACACACAATCAAACAAACAATATGTTTTCACACTCCTTTAAAATTTGTAATACTTCTATTTTGGTGTTTCTTTGGTCTTCTTGTGAACAAAAGATTTGTTCAAAGAGGAAAATTCACACACATTCATTTCAAGTTTTGTCACCTTTCTCTCCATTTTGCAATAAATAGAGCTCCACTTTCTCAGCCAAATCAACTGTCTTTGCTCTATTGATGGAAATGGCAAAAAGTTTTTGTTTCATTATTTGAGTATCATTACCGCCAGGTGTCACCACATGTGCACATACTAGTGCCATGCCTTGGCCTCTGATACTGTGTGGTGCAATGAACAGTCATGAACCTCATCGTCTTCCTAAATTTTGCATTTATCTGTTAATTGAAAATACAGTGTAGAATTTTATTTTTTAGACAAGAAATGCAAAAATAGGTATGTAAAGATGTTATTACAACATTCTGTATCAAACAAGAACATAGAAAGGTGAGTATTATTGGCAAGATGTAGGGGTATGTACTGTGCCTTTGAGGCCTCAGTCTGATCCCATACAGTGATAACACGGCCACCCCAATATAGCGGCCATTAATTGCTCAGACCCACAGCTGACCAGATAAACAGGGCTGGATTGTAGTTAGAAAGCCAGAAAAATTATAATAGTTATAAGACATTGTCTGTTTTTTACATGTTATTATTCTGTTTTATTAGGTGCATTATTTAATTAAATAAAAAATACTTAGTGTAGTAGTACCACTAGTATAAAAAAGTAGGGTTAAGTTTCATCAACAGTCAACAGCACAAAAAAAAAATTTTCTTGTTTTTTATGTGTATTCTTTATTTATTATTATTAAAATAGCTAAAATGCAAAAATCAGAAACTTATTAGGCGAGATAAAGTTAGATTGGTTAAACATGGTTCAAAGGGCAATAATAAAATTGAAGTATAGATAGATATATACATTATTTAAACTATTTAGGATAACGAGTGTAGTTTCCTGTTACAATATGCAGTCATTATAGAAAGAAAGAAATAACTTAGATCCATTTCATATTTTTTTTTATGGTGGTTATCATGTCGGTCAAATTGACCAACCCTGTGTAGTTAGTACAGAGAAAGTAAGAGATAAAATATAAACTTTTATGGAAAAAAAAATGTTTTAAATTTATTTAGGAGGTTTTAGAGATTGTTCAAATGAAATTTGACAATTTACAGATGAAGAAAAGCATATTTAACCTTAATATGAAAATATCTTTGCATTCGGAGCAGCTAACACTTTGACTCCACATATTTACTGAGAAAGTTTCAGTAAAAATACTTCATTCAAAATTCTGATTTTTGTCTACAAAAGATTTATGATGTTTACTGAAAGCTTGCTAAACGTTATGAAGATACACACACACGACATGTTAAATGTTATAGTATGGAAAGTCTTAAAGGTCAATTTGGGGCTACAAATAAATTCTTAAATTTCAGTTATTTTTCTTTAAACATAGAACAGTAAATAAAAAATGTATAGAAAACAATTATCTCTACTATTTACAATGTTACAAAGTTTTTCTGTACTTATGTGTCATACTTGCTAAGCCTCTTCAAATTTCACACATGGAGGATGTAAAAAATAAATTTGTCAATTTTATGTATGCATTTTGAAATAAAAAATTATAAATTTCTTACTGATACCACAAAATTCCATTGATTCATCAAGCTTCCCAACTATCCTGAATAAAAAAAATATTATTTCCAATCAGTATATCGCCTTAATCACTGCTCTTCAAAATCTTCAATGGTTATAACAGCTTTAACTGCATAAATACTTTAAAAAGATTTACAGGAATATGTGGTTCAAAAGGAGTGCTTTTGATTGGTTATAAATGTACTTTACATGTTTGCTGCCATCAGCAGTATTGATAATTCCTACCCTAGGGCCATTCAAGAGGTGCCGAGGAGCAGTCACAGTGTCCCAAATGCATATGGCAGAAGAGAAATCTGGCTTTCAAACCTAACTGTCCGTATCCTACCAATATGTCACGTGGTCCATAACTAAAAATTGGTTGTGACTCACTGGTGGGGCACATCGAAGCGAACATGTTAAGAGAAGTAGGCATAGGTAAACAAGTATTTTCAAATGAGGAAGAAGTGGGCAGAGTCACTGTGGTGATTTCCTAAATATAATGATATCTCGGCAAATTGAATAGGTAGGAGATTTTTATTTTATATTCTAGCTTGTTAATATTGGCAATATGAGTTTATAATTCATTAAAAACCATAGACTTTACATTTTATGACACCTAAATACAATCTGAGCAAAGGCAGAGGAGGACAATGTGCCATATGACACACAAAAAGTCAATATGTAGCTTTTTTTTTAATATTTACTTTTGAACTAAGAAATGAAATAATGTATAGTACTAACATTTGAATTACAGACTATGATTTGATTCCAAATTTAAGTACATTCATTCATAAAATAGTAGTTTAATAAAATTTTGAATGTTAACCTACAAAACATGATGACATGTACTTTGACTCCTACCTGTATGGAAAGGATTAAATGCCTCTTGTGAAAATAGCAATTTAGATATTTTAAAAAGATATATTTATCAATAAGATGAGATACAACATATAAAATTTCTAAATATCCAACATTTAAAAAAATTATAAGTAACAAAAATATGACCTACACAGTTTTCAAAAATATTATTTTTGGACTACTTTTGGTATTATACACACCTGCACTGTGTGAACTGCCTTCAGAGGATCCACTACCACACCACATTCTTCTAATTCTCTTTTATACATTCTCATTTCTCCATCTTCTGCAAACAACTGCCAACCACCTTCCCCAACACCCATCTTTGCATAACTCAGCTGTTCTGTAGTAATAGCCTCAATCTGAAAGTTTAAAAAAATAAAGTTTAGAATGAAGAGTAAGTAAAAAGACACAAATAAAGAATAATAAAAACAAACTACCCTTTCACAACAAGTCATATCTTCCATCAATTAAAACTTAAGACTCATAGATTGAACACAATGTATGACAAAGTTTAAATCTATTTAAAAGCAACCAAAGTGATGAGTGCACAGATCAAATGGACAGCACTTATACTAGAGATCAAGACTCACTTGACTGAATTGTAACTTCTTCCAGATCATTACGTATACAAAATTCTATTATGCCATCCCTCTCATTTTAAACTGTGAAATAATGGAGAATATGTCCTACAGGTATCACCTGATCCATCAAATCACTGTCCATATTTACAGAGTATATTCTATTCTGCACTGATCTTTCCCACATGAAAGCATACAGGAATGAACTAGAACAACACGCAGCTAGCAAAAGGAATTCAACCACACTCCTTTATCAATGTTCTATTGTTAAAACTACATAAACGTGTATGCAGAAAAATGTTGAAGATTCTTATTGAACTTTAAATATTCACCTTACTAACCACAAGAGATGGGAAATAATTAATATCAATTAGCATATCACAGACCCATAAACAAAATATTGTATAAAATGACAAAGAGAGAGAGAAAAGTAACAAAGTTTTGAATAATATATTACATCCAAAAAGAATGTGAAGTAAAAACAGGGACTTTGTTGTCAGTGTTTTTTTTTATTATTATTTTGTTACTGAACAAGTTCAAAAAGGATTTTTGTTCCAGAATAAAAGCTATAAAATATAAAATGCTTAATTCCAACATTTACCATTAAAAATAGTCACTTTGTAAGGATGTAAATAAAGAAAATTAATAAAAATTATGCATGCACACATACACTGTTTCATGATAAAATACATAAGATAAATACTATCTATTTATCAACATATTTTAGGACAAAACTTTAGCTGCCAGAATTAGAATGACAAAGTACATAATAGTGCATTAAAAACAACTAAAAAATGATTATTTAAAAAACTATTCAAATAACTATTAATCCTCTGGATACAGATAGGTAAAAGTAAATATTATGATCTTTTCACAGTTACATTGAAAATTTAATTAATGAAACTATTCTAATGTATGTCAATAAACTTGGCATCAAAACATGGTTAAAACATTAAACTTTAATATTACATAAGTTTTAATTTCTTAATTTTGAGAGGATATATTTAAATAAGTTCTCAATATTCACTCCTCTATATCACTTTACACTTATTTGCTCTGAATTACTCAATTTAAATATCCTTTCCACCCCAGTTATTTGAGTTCCCGAGTTTCAATGCAAGTAATAAACTTATGGTATAGATATTTCCAAATCATAATATAATTTGAATGTTTGAAAGAAAAATTTTAAAAAAGTGCTAACTAACACCACCAAAAATTCAGGTTAACTTTTATCAACACTTTTACTGCAAAAAAGTACATGATCCACATGCTAGTTTTAATTATTTTTAATGTAGCTAAAACTTAAAAATTAGAAACTTGTTAGGTTAGATATGAAAACATAAATGAAAATTTCTCAGGACAGCTGCACATATGTATGTAAATGAATACTTTGTTTTACCATAACTTGAACTGTTTGCTTGCTCGGTATTTATAGTTTTGTTATGCATGTTTAGTAGTTAGATTCACTCAAAGAGCAATAAAAAAAATTAAATTAAATAAAAACATATGTAAACTGTTATAAGCCCGATTTACCATTACAATTTGCAGTCAATCTAGAAATAAAAAAATGGTAACTTTGATGTATTTTGTATTGTTTTTGTAGTGGTTATAAGATGGTAAAAATGAACAGGACTCATACAGAGTTAGGGTAAAAAATTAACAGATAAAATAGTTTCACTGAAAAACCTTTCATTTTCATTTAGAATGTTCTATATATTTGAAAACTATATGATGAGAAGAAGTATATTATTACTTTTAACATGATTAGTGAGTCCGATTCAGACTATGACTTCACATGTTCACAGACATATTTTTAGTAAAAATACTTAATCAAAAAATCTGTTTCTTCATGCACTTTAAATGTTTATTAAATGCTGCCAAATCCTGTGAAGATACATTTACTACATTAAAAGAAACAGTACGTATAGTTTCATGGTTACATGGTGAATAAAAGGTCAGTCAAAGTGACTGAGCCTTAAAGTACAGTGTAAGAGACAGTATAAGAAACTTTGAAAAACTGACTTTACTTCATACTTCTAATTTTTTTTATGATCATTCAAACCTACAATTTTTATACGGCCTAAAATACCATAGAAACAATTCTATAACATTTATGTTTACCATTGAAAAAGTTTTGTCAAAAAGTTAATATTTGAAAAAAAAAAAAGAACTCGTCACCTCAGGCCATAATCTGTGTTGACATGTAAGAATAGATGGTGGTGGTTGGGCTAGATCAGCTGTTATTTTCTTGGAAAGTCTCTGAAAATATAATAAACTAATCAATATAAGCTATGTACAATGAATGTGAATAAAATTCAAACTTTTACTAATTAAAATATCTCTTAAGATTACTGATTGATAACAAGACAAAACTGGAGTGTCCATAAATGTTAACAAAAGAATTTTGCTGATTAAAATAAAAAACTAAGCCAAACTGCATGAAAGGATATGCATAGCAAAGTTAGTGAACACATATTATGTTTCATGATGATGGGTGGATCTCTTCAAACAATATTCAATAAAAAGTTTAAGCACACACAGAAAAACATAGTAATAAATTCACATAAAAATCAACTACTAAGTTCTTCAACTTGACAATAATTATTTTAATCAATTTGTACTTCAACATACATCAAAATACTGCTTCTATAGCTATACACAATTTCTTATCTTTACACATTTTTTTAGTGTAAAAAACTTTAAAATAGAAGAAAAAAAATTCCTTAGAATACTGCATAAATATAATAAAATTACACTATTTTTTTTATCAAACTGTTTCAAGGAAAACCCTTCTTCAGATAATGTCATTGTATAATTACAGTCAAAACAAAGAACAAATTGTACATAGTGATTTCCTAAAGAAAGCCACTGCCTAAAATGTTGGTGGAACTTTAATAACAACTGCACCTTAATATAACTACATAACTTAATATTTAAGAAATGGAATAACAGACCCTCTCTTCTTCTTGCTGCTCATGTTTGTCTAAAGCAGCATCAACTGCATCAAAAAATTCTTCTTCATTAATTACACTGTGGGGACCTTCCTGATGTTGAATGGAATAGAAGAGAGAAGGAGAGCTTAATAACACTGAACAGAAACTTATTACATCAAGGTTAAAGTCTAGATTACATGCAAAGTTGATTACAAACAATTCTTTCAAATTTCTAAAGCAATTTTTCAACTTTACTCACACACACACACACACACACACACACATATATATATATATATATAAACTTGGTTTTCTTTATTTCACAGAAACATAAATAAAATTCTAGTAGTAAGTTTTTTTCCCAACTCAAAGTATAACAGTGAGTGTCCATCTCATAATTCAGTGCAAGTTTTACACCACTAACAAACTTATATTGCATGTAATACTGAAATCATTATTCAACTTAATCTACTCTCATAATTAGCTTTTCCAGTGATACTATAGTAACCAACTAAAGTTAAGGTTTGGTTAATACGTACTGTCAACTTGTCTTTGATGAAATACCTTTTAAATTAATTTAATCTTAATTTGGATGTTAGCTCAGTTGTGTTAAAAAATTATTAAATATTACCTAAAATGCTCTTTATAATACAAGGAAATAATAAGTTTATTCATAGTTGCACAAATACAGGCCTGTGATGGTTATATTGTCTCGAAATTTTTACATGTTCTACAGTCATTCCTGAATCGGAAAATGATTTCTACATTTCTCCATCACGTACAGATTTTTACACAAAACATCATAATAGAATACATGAAAGACCATAACACGTAGTTTGAGACTAAAAGATGTAGATTTCACACAAAAGACCAAAATTAATGAGGATGCATGCTCGTTTGACATCAATGTTCTTCCCTTTTCTTCAGTTTGTTTGTACTTTTGTTAACAAACGTAATAATGAAAAATGTTCATTGGGATAAATGAGATAATAGTTTAATCCAAGTAAGTTTTTTTTTTCTTCCCGAATTGTAAAAAATCTTTACATAATAGAAAGAAAAAAAAACTTTTATGAAGTTTAAATTTGCAGGTTATAGGTCAAAGAGGAAAATATGTTTGACAGCAATATGTGTTCCATATTACTTAATATGGCAAAGATTGATATTACTAATGATTTAGTAATTTGTAAAAACAATCATTATAAAGCTAGTAATTTTTTTTTTATTGACCTCGTAATCTGGACCACCCAACACAATTGGTTGTTGAGACTTGGCATCTGAGACTGCTTGTTTGTATAGCTCATCTAATTTCCTTCTTTTTTCTATTTCCTGGGAGGAAAAGAAATAAACATAATTTTTTCAATTCATCCATTATGCAATTCAGAAATAACACTAAGTTATCAAATGAAAATTTATGAAAGGATAAATATTAAATTAATTTTCAAAAACAGATTAAGTCTTTTATACATCCTTTCTTGTAGAAAAATGTATCTTTTGCAATATGCAGTTATGAATATAATTATTTGTCATCATATTCAATATGTTTTATAAAGAGAGCATTAAAAAATAGTTAAGACTAAAATATTGCATATATCAAACAGAGAATATTGTCATTCTAGTTGTAACCACCCTCAATGATAAAATCAGAAAATCCTAACATGTACGACACACAACTTTTCTCTTTCTCTGTACTGAAAGTTTGGTTTGGTGCACTTGCTAATTTTGTAGCTTTTGTTAACCCTCTCCGATGGATCATGAGTCAAAGGCCATGTCATTACATTTCTTGACTCTCATTCAAAATTTTATTGCACTACTATTTCATGAATACATGACAATAAGTTTGGTATCAAACTGTAGATTACGATTTAAATTTGAGTATTACACATTATTTAATTTCTTAATTTAAAAGTAAATATTAAAAAACACAGTTAAACATTGATTTTTGTGTGTCACGTGGTATGCTGAATGCAGCACTGGTTCAAATTAGATATTTGTGATGTCAAAATACTAAGTCTATAGTTTCATATGAATTAGGAACTCAAATTACCGATATTAACAAGCTAGAATATAAAATAAGAACCTCATATCTTTTCTATTTGCTGAGATATCACTCATGTACTAAATCAAACACAGTGGCCCCACTCACCTCTTTCCATTTTGTAAATGGTCCCTGATATTATTTATAAAACTATAAATTTTACCTTTGTTTTGATTTGAAAAATAACATGCAATAACAAATTTTACAATCACTGATGCACAGTATAAAAAACTTTACCATACCACAATTATATGCAAGCCAACTTTCTTTTTTAAACTGTTAATCCGGTTTTATTTCATATATATATATATTTTTTTTTACATTTCTGTCATTTTAGTTGCCTATTCAAGCAGTTACTTATGCTGATATGGCAAAATGTGAACACACCCTAACACTGGGTTTTGTTGGTAAAATGATTCAGTAAAGCCAGTGATCTTCAAAGTTTGTTTGTTTTATCAGCTGAATTTCTTCTTTATCTCAGTGGATCAGACCACAACAGGATTTATACTTTATGCTGTCACTACCTTTCCATACTCATGCAACATTTCCATGGACCACCTGAAGAAAGGCCATGAACCACGGACTGAAAACCATTGAACTATGCTTACCTCACCTTGTTCCACAAAAAAAAATATTTATTCATACTGCATCATAATTCAAATGAAGCATAAAATGATAAAACATTTTGCAAGCTTTAACAAAATATGACTGTAACTGTGACAGAAGTTGTTTGCAAATACCTTTTCTTCTAGCTGCATATCATCAAACTAAGCTTTTATTACTTTGTTACAATCTCTACAAGAATCTCTGCTGAACTGAAAGCCGTATAGGCTTATATAGCAGAGAAAAATAATTTTCATTATGTTTAAATCATTGTTAATGATAAGATATAGACAATTCCATCAGATCAAGACAACCAAGGTTGAAAAACGGTAACTAATTAAAATCAATAAAGCTACACTATTTTTGTTCAAAAATATTTCAACTTTCCTCATAGGGACTACAACTATAAAATTAAACAAATAAACTTTTTCATATTGAATAAATCACAAATCTGAAGTTTTACTTTTAAATATGTGGAAGAATGACTACAAGTTTATTGTCAATAGTGTAATTTTGTCCTTGGGGCATAATGTACCGATCTAGAGTTAAAGAACAACAGATCATTTAATTTTAGATGTATACATTTACAACAAATAGCATAAAATAACATCATAAAACACATAAAAGTTAAATAATACCATATGGATAAATATCTGCATAAAAACTGCAATAATTAATGAAGAAGAATAGCCAACTATTCGAAAGCGCTCGGGTTTTGGGTCTTATTTTACGTGATCCTTTGTGCTAACTTATTTATCAAAAAAAATCAAGCTTACAAAAATTTCTAGAACTAAAAATAAAAACTTGGAGATAAAGATACATTTCTGAAAGATAAAATAACATAAACGTTACCTTCTAGGAATAAAACTTGCATTTAATTTTAGATTTAGACAAAATGTGCTTAAAACATTTTCTAGGAAGGCTTTTAAAACTTTCATAATGAATGAAATAGACTTTTTTCAGATAGAGAAAGCAAATTCCTCACAAACAAATATATTATAGACTTAATATTTTTACCTTTTCCAAGCGTCGCTTCCAGTTTTCTTCCCGTTGCTGCATTATATCAATACAGTGAGAGAGAGTAGAAAGAATTCCTGCTGTTGTAGCTTTGAATGTAATAGCTTCTCCTTTAAAATCTACAGCATGAGCCCCATGTTGAGATAATAATTCTTTGGTTATGTGAGGGATGTGTGTATGATCTAAAAAAAAAAAGTATTGCTAATGTTAATTGGCCTGTTGTTACATTGGATTAGACACTGATTCAAAGGTACAGATATAAACATGATAAAAGATAAAATATCAACAAAAATTATTTATCAACATCTATGTTGACCTTACGAACAAACTTATGTCAGGTAAGCAAAAGATATAAATACACTAAAAATGTAAAATCACTAATAACTCGATAAATTTGTGCTAAACCTGCGGACTTAAATTACAATGAAGAATGAGTTTAAATCAAAATATATTTAAAGTTCAGTTAAACCATCTGTTTCCATGAACATCAAACCAAATATCCATAATAAAACATACATATTTTATATTTTTGATCAAAATAGGTATATAATTAAAATGCATTACCAATACCAAATGAGTTAAACTATATTAATATTAAATCTCCTTAACAGATAAGTAACAAAAGGTTCTCTATTATAATATTATTCAATTACTATTAAATGATACGTCGTATGGAAAAGAAACATACCTTTAAACCTACAGGAACTAGATGGTAAATCATAAAGTCTGTCTTCAGAATTGACAGGTGGATCTTGAGATGTTCCATTGTCTTCTATGTCTTCAAGTTCAGCCACTATTGATTATAATAATAAAAAAATATTACTTTCTGACGAGTTATAAAGATTTAAAACACGATTCGTTTCACCTTGGAAGAACAACTTTTTAAAACATTGTAACTGTTAAGTTTTACAGAATGTAGATGTTTATCAGTTTTATTTTATAAAAAAATGAAATATAATATGTATTAATTTATTGAGTTATGGCTAGATATTTCAGATAATAGTTATTTGAACAATATCTTCAAAGCTTATAAATTAAAATTTCTTTATTATAATCTAAAACTATTTACAATTTAAATTCTCTTATATGAATTTGACTGTCAAAATATAAGCATCAAATAGAAACCATGATCAAGAATACAGTATCGATATTGTATTAAACCTGTCATACAAAACTTAGAAAAAGGTATCAAAAAGGATTAAATAATTATATATCACTTTTTATTCAGCAAAGTTGTAAAGGTCATTTTAGAAATAATGTGAGTTGTGTGATAAGCAAATTGATTTTCTCTATCCTGTTACTAACTGTAGGGAAATTATCAATGTATATCAAAATGAAAAGTTAAAAAATATGAAATAAACTGAATAATAAGATTTTTTTCTTGCACTGACTGCAGTACTGATCACAAAGTTCGAAGTTACTTATTTTATAGTTTTAGTTGTTTTCTTTTAGTTTTGTGGTTTTATTGTTGTATTTTGTACCTACTGGAGTAGTAATACTCAGATCAAAAGCAATAAATCACAAAGGAAGCTCATTAGCTGTTTCTTATTGATCTAACATAAATAGTACATGACCTGAGTGTCATATTTCACACCACATTCAAGCAATGAAATTTTAGACATTTTATTTTACTGAATTTTTGTTAGGCTAAGTTGAGATATTTATAATTTTACACTTTAGTTACTTTTGTTGAAAAATTACAACAATAAATAAAAAACATCCATAAAAAAACAAGGATTTGTAGTACTCACTGTGAAACTGAGTAATTTGCACTTGAGCAAAAAATCTTAAAACATTCTTCCTTAAGCCTTGTTTGGTTGTTCAAATAAAAATTCATATAGGTTTCAAATTTGCATTTTAGAACACAACGTATTAGTCTCTGGAATATAAGATCCCAAAAACTATTATAATTTATTTGGCTTTCTATGTAAGCTATAAATACATAAGAAACATTATATTACTGTTCGGAGCACCAAATCTGATCAACACAAGCCAAGCTATTCTTCTTGACTAATGACTTATGATGACAAAACTGAATACAGAATTATAAGATTTATAGAGAGAAAAATCTGCTCTTTCTACTGGGTACAAAAATGACCATCAGCCATGTAAAGTTAATTAGCAAACAATCCTGAAAGTCAGAGAGATAAAGGGGAAGGCTTCTCTGGTGACATGTGCACTTTGAGTTGGTCATATAAAACTTAAGGTAAAGAATAGGTATCAAAAAACAAGATGAAAAATAATTATGCAATGCAATTATCAGTTATGATAAGTAAAATGTATGGCAAGTCAAAATGTCTATAGTGTTTTTTTCCAAAGATAAAATGAACTAATGACTGAACTTGAATGAATAAAACAAAATCATTAAATGAAATAACTTCTGCTAAAGAACAATAGAAAATATAATTTATGCAAAACTTAGTTTCAGTAAGACAGTGAGTACTTTGTACATATCCACTGTAAATAATTTTAACAATATGCAAAAAACTAGTACTAACAGTGAGTATCATTTTCTTTATCATTTGTTGCTGTAACAGTGTCAGCACAGGCATCAAAGTAGCTTTGAAGAGTATCAACTTGTCGGCACAAAATGTCTCTGAATGTCTCCATTTCAGCAAGTTTAACCCTGAGACCTCTTGCTTTCTTAAAAGAAGATACACTGGCTGTGGAAAGATTAGCTGAACCAAGAGAGATGGCAGAACCATGGCGACGTAGGCTGTTCTCACTTCCATATGCTGAATCTGCCTACACGGAAAAAAATTTATATATACATACATATATTATGCTCAAGAAACTATTTGATGGAATGAACAGTTCTTTGTTATTTTATAATGTCCGGGAATATATATTCAAAATATGACTTAAAACAACACCACACAATATGTTAGATGTAATATGTGGGAAACAGATTTAAGACAAAATATAAACTGAACCATGAAGTAACAGAAATACAACAAAGTTAAAAAAGCTTCAACACTACTTCCCAGTTTTTTTAACGTATGAACAATTTTAAATGCATTTAATACCCATAATACATCTGAAAAACAGTTAACTGCTTAGTCTAGGTGGTCCAGAATTTTATCTTCATTCACAAGTGAAAATATTTAAATTTCTATCATTTTTAACATTAATATTTTACATGTAAAATAGTTTAAAAATGTTACACCAAAAATAGCTGTTCATAACGTGATAGATGGGCAGGCAAATACTGTATCATATCCCTTTTTTTCACTTACTCCTATGTCTCAATCCATAATATCATACTTGTTAAGTCTTGTGAAAACAAACACATAACAACCAAAGCCACAGCTATAATTTACATTTCAATTTAAAAGCACAGAATTCTCATCTCTAAACACATATTATCTTCCTTACAATGGATAGCAAGCACTAGAAATTCCTCCAATAATCACTTAGTATTTATATTTATCTTAATATTTGTTGCCAAGGCATAGATTGGATGGCTCAGAATAATTAATACATTTTTCTTCATCTGTTCAATCTACTCTCAGTGTTTTAGACATCTAAGGATTATCTCAGTCCCATTCAAGCCATGTGCTATTATACCTATTAGTTTTCTCCTTGATTTTGACTACAGTCCAAAAATAATAACATATGAAAATAACCATATGCCACAAGTAGACAGAAAAATCACAAATCTTGTTAGAAGGTACTGGTGAAATAAGTAGTATGCAATCCAAATATAGATCTACCATGTAAAACAGTAAGGACGTTCAAGTCCCACTCTTATATATATAATGAAATACATAATTCCAATGCTATAAATTACATTATTTGTTAATAGGTGATTAAAATCAGCACTATTAAATAATAAAGAAGTTAATATAAACTAAAGATATATATATATATATATCAAAGTGATAACTGGAAAATATTTGTGAAGATGCTAATTATCTCAGAACCAGATGAATCAATAGACTTAACTTTCTAAAACATTTTTAACATTACCAGAAATGTTTTACAAATAAAATGTAGCTATACCTCTTCAACCTAAAAGACAACTTAAACAAAAAGCAGTTATTCTTAAATTAATGCTAATACAACTAATTCATACAAGTTAAACAGAACTAAAATGAGTCACTTAAAGAATGGCAAACAGTCTTGCTTAGTAGTAGATTACAAAACAAAGATAATGGAATACAGTTCTTGAAACCCAAGGAAAATCTTCCTGCGAGGATTAACTCTTTCAACACGAGCTCAATCAATTTTACCAACAACGTGACCTCTTTGTTATCGTTTAGTCTTTATAGATTTGATACTCTTAACTTTCAATATAGTGTATATCTTCACAAAATTTGGCAGTCTTTTGGTTAATATTATAAGCCTTTCACATACAAAAAATCATGTTTTTAGTGAAGTATTTTAATTAAACTAAATAAAGATTTGTCCAAGAATATATTGAGTATTTGTTTTGAATATTCAATGTGCAAAGTAATTTTCATGTTAAAATTAAAAATACTTTTCCTCATTTCAAAAATCTAAAATTTCTTTTGTGTAATCCCTAAAACTTCCTAAATGCATTTCACACGTTCTTTTTTTCCAGTAAAACTTTATAGTTTATCTGTTATTTTCTCTACCCTATCTCAAAACGGAATAGGTCAATTCGACCGACCTCGTAACACCGAAAAAAAAAAGAAAGAAAAAAGAAATATATCTAAATTACCCTTTTTCTCCTTCTAGAATGACTTCAAATTGTAACATGAAACTACATTCGTTTATCCTAAGTAGCTCTAAGTTCGTAACAGTATACATCTATTTATAATTAAATTTTATTGTTTTACCTGTTACCTAGAGTTACATTTGGTGGAGTCAAAATAAGGATTTGTGGTTAGAAGTAAACCATGTCTACAATTTCTCCAGCATTGTTTCCCTTACTTTTTCAATCCCTATTTCTTATTTATCTTGTTTGCTGGCTTTCTTTTTTATGCTCAACTATGGGCAAATGGTTACTTGATATGGTAGTTAACCTTATACATTGAAATAATAAACATAGCTGTTGGCTAGTTGATACAGTTCATAAGGATAATTTACTGTAGCTGATTTGTTTGAGAATATAATCAGCATTTATGGTTTATGTATAACTAAATTTTTTATACATAATGCATAGCAATGGGCAAATATATGCCTAGACTAAGACACAACCCCCACTACGCATGTATAAAATTTTACCAGTAGAAAAGCAGCCTTTTCAAATAAAATATATATATCTAAAACAATGCTTTAAATAAACCTACGTGCCTTTTAAAGTAATTATTATATGAATGTATGCAATAAAATTTTATATTATGTGTACTGATTTTTTTTTTTTACTTCTTCACTTCATACATAATGAAAGGATTAGCTCCCTAAAGACACCAATTGTACAATGCAAAAAAGCATTGAGTATCTATCTGTTACAGTCATCTAAAGTTCATCTATTATTGGCTGGTAATTCCCATTTCACCCTGTATTTAAGCTTTTTAAAGGAACACCAGATATTTGTAGAAAGTTAACTTTAAGGGATAATGATAACATTGTTTACACCAGAATTATGTTTTTTAGCTTACGTAAAATACAGAAGAAACAAATCGCCTATTCAATACCTCTATGACCTTCGCAATACGTTATTTAGTATTCCACAAAAAATTTGGGTGCAATATACCAAGCCATTTTTGTTGTAGGCTGGCAAGAGAATAATAATAATTAAAAATGGACCGTTTTGAGTGGATTTTCTTTTCCTTGTAAGTCTAACATGCATGCTTTTTTGTGCATTTTTACAAGCGTACAGCCTTAGCAGTCAATAGTGAAGGTTTTAAAGTGTTGTTTCAACTGAATCTTTACTATTTAAAGAGCTTTTTGCCTGAACATTCTATTACGGTTTTGTGCAATAGTGGCTCATAATATACTTTAATGAATATGTGAAATATAAAAATAGTTTTTTCATACAAAAGATGAGAAGTTCATAATGCTTCTGTTTAAAGACCTTCATATTTAAGTATAAACCCATCTTATAGTAAATATTTACCTTACAAGCCTCCAGGATTTCTACCCAATGATTTCTTTCTTCTGGACAGTCAGTACGTAGATACCACACACAGTCATGGACACTTACATCAAACCTACATTCATCGAATTCATGTGGCTAAAAAAAACATAAAATTCCAAAGTTAAGTACAACTACAAATGTTTTGTAGTACTTCTATTTCAAACAATTGAGTAAGTCACATTTCACATTCATATCTTGATTCAATATTTACATGCCAGGGGTCAAAATTCCCCATCTACTTGTCAGGTGACTTTCTATGGATAAAAAGTATAAACATCAGTTACATGTCACCAGTGGCAGGTGGAAAAATTGTTAAGTTAATGTCCAAATGTTAACCTTTTAGGAACAGGAGGTTTTGTATATTGCTTGAGGGCATAAACACTTTTTTTCAATACAAAGGTTTATTTATTTAATTTATAATAGAAAATAAAAAAATATAATTGTGTTTGATTTCATTAAACTTTTTGGAGAATTTTATGACAATGCTCACTATCTATAAAAAAATGAAGCATTTTGTTACAAATTAAATCACAACATTATATGTTTGAACTGACCCAAGTTTTAACAAGTTTATCAATCAATGTTTCTGAAATCTGGTTACTCTGTCTTTGATAAGCCTATTTACATTGTCCTATGAAATGAGTACAAACTTGCTCCTGTTTTATTCAACTTTGTAAATCAAATATTCTCATAGTCTATAAATTTATCCATATCAATGTGCAGATATGACTTCAATTAACATATCAAAGTCTGTAGTCAATTTTGGTGCTGGCATTCATTACTGTCATATCCTACCTTGGTTTCATCATTTGCAATAATTAATTTTCTTAAATAAAAACACAAAAAAATCTGAAATGGATTCATCAAATCTGTGGACAGAAAACAACCAGCACTAGCAAGCAGAATCATTTGCTGATTCAACTCTACTACAGTATGAAAAGGAAATGAGAATATTTCGTGGAAATTGGCATCCATTGCTATTTTCTGACCAGAAGAAGATGTATTTTAGTTTTTGCCAACAATTTAACAAAAGTAAAAATTACTAATTTCTAACAGAATCTGAATCATTGGCAATTAAAAATGGGCATTCTCACAAAACAGATTGTGTTGTTAAAGCTGTGATTAAAATGGGAAAACATGACATGAAACTAATAGGAAAAAAGTGTTTAACACTGATTTCTTCTCTGCTAAGCATGAAAAGCTCTACACTGATCTTGCAAAGTTAACAGCGCTGTAAAATACAAACTGTAAAGATGGAAGAATCACAGAACTACAACTGATAAATAATTTTGTTTTTGAAAGCAAAGCTAAATAATGGACTATATGCACTCTGTCCACTACAGGAAACCAAACTCTGGATTTTATCATTGAAGTTCATAACTTACCACTGACCCACCAGGGGACAATATAAAGAAGAAAATAATTTTATTCAGTAAATTGCAAACCCAAGAAAGAAAAGTTACTAGAAATAATTAGTAGTTCAAAGTTTACTGATGTAGCATTGGATAAATCAACCAACAATTCAAATAATCTTAAGGAAGCACCATTCTACATTTCATATTTAGATGAAGATTGGTAACTGCAGATACACTATGTGAAAATTGTCGGCATCAAACAGTGCAAGAGATGAGGGGCTGACTGCCTTTTTCTTTCAAATATTTACTGAACTTGATGCTGATGTCGAGCAAATGTGTACAATTAGCTATTGGTTGTCCTAACATCATTAAATGATTTTTTTTCCCATTAAAGTAGGTTCTCAAACTTTTGTTTTGTCCACAGAACACCTGAATTTATTTTTCTCAAGGATTACAATGGGATTATAATATATATGCTGCTATTTATTTTCCATGAAGGGAACCTGTGGACCACAGATTGAAAACGTACAAATCTTCACTTGAGAGGTTTGTTTACTGAAGTCAATGTTCTACTTGATGGGTTTATCATTTCTATGATAAGAGCAGATCGCAGTGGAGAACATTAACAAACACAGCTGATGGACTGGGAATCAATGCTTTGGTGCACCCCTACCATTAAAGGGACTTCATGGGTTGTTCATAGAGCGAAAAAAAGTTATGTCAGCATGGGTTGTTCATAGGGGGAAAAAAAGTTATGTCAGCACTTAACCAAAATTATGCAGCAGATGTTACCCCATACAGGAAAACAATCTAAATAAAACTAAAAGATCTGAGACACAGACAAAGACTCATGGGCTCAGAGCCAAACTTCAAGATGAAAATGACAATTTTCATGTTTACAATTCTTAAAACTTTATTCACCATGGTTTCCATTCTGAGTTGCCTCCTACAACCCAATGATGCATGCATAGTCATTGATTATCACAGGTCACACAAACCAAAGACAAACATATTAAACGTTTTTTTTAACAAAAAAAAAAAAAAGTTCATGAAAGAGCACAACAAGAATTGGATGTAATAAGATGTTCAACTGAAACAGAGAAAAAAATGGAGGAGTATCCAACATCTTTGGATTTTATTAAAGGTCAGAAAGAGTTGTTAGTGTACAGAGTAAAAGATGCTACTAGTGATAGACTTGGTTCATTAAGTGATAGCCACATAGGTAATTATCCAGAAATGTTACTGTTTTCTGCTTTTGATGTCAGTAAATTAACAACCAGACTGTGAAGGAGTGGACATTTCTCAGTGTGGAAAGACTATAATATCATTTCTTTATTCTAAACTTTTATCACCAAATGGCTATGAACCAAAGAAGATAAAGAAAAATCTAATGTGTGGGAATGTGTAATGCATGTGCTGAGAATCACAACTGGAGATGGGAGTACAATTAAGAAGTCCTGGCCAAAAATTTTATGTTTGTTCTGATATATTCAACAGTCTGTAATGAACATGTCAAGTCTGATGGAGTTAAAAACTCACAAAGGAGCCAGTGAATGAGTTACTACTTTTGTAACTCAGTTATTACATGATTGTCAATTCTGACCCAAAACCAGCCATTATACTGTGGTGGTTTGATGATGATAAAGAAAACAAAAAAAAGAACTTAAAGACACAACCAGACCTTGGATTAGACCCTTAAAAACTTAAGACCTAGTAAGTATGCTAGTCAGACACTGACTGTTTATATTATACTGTATTAATTTATTTTTTCATTGTATCCAGAAAAGTGTTTCATTCAAGCTTTAAAAATTGTGAAGAAAAATTAAATTTTTCTGTTCTGTTATTTTGGATCAGGTTATAATGAGAAGAAGACATAAAAAAATCTACCTGTCACCTGCAACAAGTAAAACATTTTTGAAACATTTCAATCCCTTTTCATGTAGAGAAAACAGAATTCATACATAAAAAAATTTGTTTATATTGTATTTTTAAGTTACTCATTTCTTATAACAAAGGTTTTCATAAAAAAAGAAATGAGGATATAATATTTGATTAATACATTAGTATGAAAACCTACAACACTCACTTTGATAGTGGCTTTGTGTATACTAATGGCACCCCGACACCCGTATCCAGTATCATTTTCAGACTTATAATATGAGAGTGTGCCATCCTTTAAGACGATATACCTTGATTGCCATCCATGTATGTAGTTTGTCCATTTGTTGAGAGTTCCTTGAAGCTCTGAAAGTTGAGCTTCACTTTCAAAATCTTCATCATCATCACTTAAGTTTCCACTATGGTCATCAGACATTTTTAAACAGAGGGTTTGCTGGTTTTAATTAATTATTCACATCAAGAATTCATCTGTTAATGCTTGATGCAATAAAAAAAACCTGAAAACATAAGATAACTTTTAGATTTGTAAATAATCAGAAACAAAGAGAGAGAAACTGATTCATAGTTTATAAGCTACTAAATCTTTAAAACACCATGTCAAAACTCCTAAGGGTATTTCTCTAAACAGAAGAAAGTAACTTGTAGGGTGCTTCAGTAGTTTGTTTTCGGAACTTTTATTGTTCATTAATCATACCAACATACTGGATAGCTTTTTTTAATTGTTATGTTTTTAAATTTGCTGATGATACTAAAATTATGAGAGAAACTGATAATGTTGAATGTTTGTTATTTTGATAGGTCTATGTTTGAAACTTCATTCACTAACCAGGAATTCAAAGACAGTTGTAAACATTCAAAGGTTTATCAGGTGGCATTCGAAGCAGCATCTGATTTTTTTTCTCTTATTAACAGAAGTTAATATTTTCTTACACTGAAAATGTAATTCCAATAGGTACATCAATATCTAATCAAGCAGAAAGCGACTGCACTGAAAGAACAGGTGTACAAGGATAAGAATATGAAAAGAAAGCACATCTGTGGGGTATAGCACAACTTCTGGAACAGGTATGCTGTTCATTCAATAATTAACACAAGAGCAAAAAGCTGAACCCGCAGGCACCAATGGATTCAGAAAAGAAATGTACAACACCTCCTATCAGCAGAAAAGTGCTGTAGAATCATGACTTGAAACAGCACAGCATTGACAAATGTGGAAAGTTAAGTGTGGAAGCACTAGAGAAGCAGTTGATTGTCTTACAGAAACACCCCATCTCGACAGTGACCATTACAAAAGCATGCAGATTTAGTGCTAATATAATATTAAGCATACCTGACGAGGCATCACCCACCACAAGGTGGGATCCTGAAATGTGATATATAAACTAAATACGATAAAAAAAAAGCTATTTCCATATTTGGATTCCTTATACTTGAATTTGGGGGAGGGAAAATCTTGGCCCAATTTCAATAAAATTGGGTAAAATTATGAAAATAATTACAATGGCACAGAGTATTTGTGAAAATCCAAAACGGCAACCACGAGCAATTTTTGATCAAATTTGGCTAAAATTCAAATGTTTTTATTTCCGGAAGAAAAAAGAATTTTGAAAAAAAAAAAAAATCGCAGGTATACTTAACCCATAGCTAAGTACCATCAGTGATTTGATGATTTGAAATGGAATGACTCAACACTTAAGAGATTCATTAACTAATTGACTAACTCACTGATTAACTCTTTGACGAAATGAATGTCTCACTTTCTAACTAACTAGCCAACAAGCTTCTAGTGTTTAAATATTGTTGTTGTTACCTATTTTTTGTTTAGGTTTTTGAGAAAATACCAGGCATTATGTAGTCTTCATGTTACCTAGAATAAGAAAACTTCTACACATCACCATTACATCATGCTAAATTCCTTCTAACAACAATACAAAACAACTAAATTAAAAGATTAAAAACATAGCCTAAAACAATAGTGACACAAATTAGACTTGGTATCATTACTTAGCTGTAAATACTGCAGAAGCAGACTGTCTTACACTGATAAAAAGTTTTAACATCAATAATGTAAATCAATTTGAGAACATTAATATGCAGATTACACAGCAATTACTATATCACCCATCAAGACACAATTATTTTCACACATTCATAATGGGCAATTCTGATTATTACATTTGTGTTTCCTTTACTTTTGATATATCTCTAATATTTTGATGCAAAATAATATATTTATATTAAATTATTTGCATATTTGATTGTACAAAAGATATCTTATTTTTCATAATTCACTTGTTTTGCCATTCTTCATTAATGGTGTCAATTAAGTGTCATATCAGTACACAATGGGACAAATTAGTCAACTTCCTCATGAACCGAATGTGAAAGCAAACTGCTTCTTGACAACAAGTATAGATTCTGTTGTTTCTTTAGAAGTCAGTACTTTTGATTGGATTTAATTCACTTAATCCAATAAAACTACCTTGGTGGATAGTGGTGGATAAGTCATTCAAACTACTGAGGCAGCACTATATTACTAGCAGGAAGCCTAATAGAATTTTAAGGTGTATTTATACATATACTGATTACAAGTAAAAAAAAAGAGAGGCAATTATATCTTTATACAAATTACTAGTTAAGCCTCACCTGGAATACTGTGCACAGGTTTAGTCTTCTCTAAGAAAGGATATTGGAAAGGCTTCAGAAGTTTCTTATTAGGATGATTCTGGGGATGGAATGGTTATCTTATTAGAATAGCTAAGATTTTTTTTTCACATCAGAAAACATGGATAAGAGGTGATATTTTTGAAGTTTACAGAATTATCTGGGAGAATGATAGGATAAAGGCAACTGATTTCTTTGTGCTGTTTTCTGAAGATATAAAGAGATGATACAAGATTTGGAAAAGATAAGCCAAGCTCCAATTAAATTACTCTTACTTTTCTAACAGGGTATTTAAGCTTGAGGAATGAATTGCTATCAGCAGTAGTGAAGGCTGGCACATTAATAGTTTGAAAGGGAAATTGACAATTTCCTAAAAATTAAAAGAAGGGTTTGCAACAAATCGTCCCTTGTTGTCAGTATGTTATTTAAATGTTTATGATCCTTTTTCACTGTTACCTTTATTTATGTATTTTTTCCAGCATTTTAGCAACTCCCTAACATATCTAATACATAGAATATAAAAGTATACAGTATAAACAGTTTGGAGAGCATTAGGTCTTGAAATTTACTGCTTGACAATTTTAATGAGACAGCATCTCATGATATTGGCAAATTTCATATATTAATGATAATTCTAAGGTTTACTAAACCCTTAAGTATAGAATGTTTATTCTGTTATT